TTTTTTTTTTTTTTTTTTTTTTTTTTTTTTTTTTTTTTTTAACTGCATTTTGATTCAGATTTAATGAGGACCAGCTCTACTTTGTTACAACAACCTGTTGATTTTAAGTTATGTTTCACATCCATGTGAAAGATTTCCTTTGAAATTTTGAATAGCTTGAATAATCAGCAAGAAAAGATTCCAAAGGAAAAGGGTCTTTATGTTCATGAGAGATGTGAAGAGGTCTTGTACACAGTCCTGTTGCTTAATCACTCAACAGTCAGTTATTGCAACAGGAGTAACAGCATCAAAAATGTGAAAATTATTTGTGGCTTTGTCCATAAAAAGTGCTGTGTGGAAAATTTTAGTGAGTTTTTTTTCTTCTCTCTCTCTCCTTCTTTAGCAACTACATACACTCGAGAAAGATTTGGTATCTGCCTGTGACCTGCTAGGAGTGGGAGCAGAGTATGCCCGGGTAGTAGGATCAGAATATACCAGGTACATGTTTCCTTCACTTCATGCCCAGAAAAATATTTTTTGCTTGTTCAAGCTTATACAGATGTTCAGGTAACATGTAAATCCTGCACTGTCAGACCAGTACTTCATGGGAATTCTTTGTTCTGACTGTGGATTCCATCTGAAGCAGGTGTTTGCTTTCTCTTACAACCAGCAATGCGTGCAAAGGCTTTTGGAGGATATTTCTCAATGTCCTCTTGTTTGACACCCTGATCTCCTAAAATCTCCCTACAGACTGTGGTTCCCCTGTACATGGGAGCCTTCTGCAGCCTCAACTAAAGAGACAGATATTAATCCTTGGACAGTGATCAGACTGCTCTTTAAGTCTGCTCCCCTTTAGTTGTGCCAGGGTTCTTGTTGCTGCTTTGAAGGGGGCCTCTGAGGAAGAAAGCACCACATATTTCTGCCTGCAGTCTTGTTCAAGTTACGTCCATGAAAGTTTGATGGCTTTTCTTCCTCCTGTGCAGTTTTGTAATTATCTTGTACATTTGCCTCTCCTGTCAGCGGGCCTTGGATGTTGTGCAGTGTTGTTGAGATGCTGCCACTGCTGGGGTGGAGGACAACATCCATCCAGTGCATGCAGTGTGGCACAGAGGAAGGAAGGGGGAACTGACCATGGCCCCTGCACTCCAGCAGATGGGTCACGGTGTGGCATAATGGACTTCTTGGTGAGGTCTCATTTGAAAAGACCTTTAGGTGGCCTGCCTGATACTCAGCATACATTTGAAGTGGGGAGAGCTGAGTTGATTCTGTCAGAATTTTGACCTGTTTGCCAATATAAGTGGGAGGCTAAGGCCTCCTTGCCCGTTTCTTCCAGCATGTGTTTCTTGCTGTAGCTCTTTTTTTTAGCAGTCCACTACCCTGAATTTTTGCTCTTGCATATACAGTGTTGTTCCTTCTTAGAAATGACAGGGCTTTTTTGTTCTATTTTAGGGCACTGTTTCTGCTCAGTAAAGGGATGGTAAGTTCATTATGTTAAAGTATAACAAGTTACTGTTATTTACTTAGTACATACAGAGCACAGAACAGTGTAAGGCTATTGGTCTTAAAATTAGATGCTTGGTTTGAAAGTCTTTCAAATGCCTACCACTGTGTTAACCAGGTTCTGCTTCATTCTGATAAGAGCATGGGGTTGATGCATACCTCAAGGCACCTTTTAAGGCTGCAGCTTTCTTGGCTAGTTGCATCCCTCTTACTTGCTCCCAGCAGTGTAGCACTTGTTGCTTCACGGAGAAAGGATAACCTTACTTGATTATAGTAAAGTTTATTCCAGACTGAGGTAATTGATTAGAATCAGCATTGTAGGCCTCTTTTTTATTTTTTTAAATTCAGGATGAGAGCTCCAGTACCATAAATTGGCCAATGTTATAAAGAAATAAAGGGGGCAGGGGAGGAGGGGTTCCTTACAGTAATCCCTTTTTCCCCATAATGAAGTACCTAAATAAAACCAGCTTTCAGGTCCTGAGCACTTAGCACTTTCCCTGTGCTTGTTCAGCACAGAATTCGTAACTAATACTTCTCTTTCTTTGGTTTAGCTTCTTCTAATGGAGCGAAAGCTGCAGGAAGTGCACCCGCTCCTCACTCTTTGTGGGCAAATAGTTGAAAACTGGCAAGGAAACCCTATCCAGAAAGAATCCTTACGTGTGTTCTTCTTGGTGCTCCAGGTGACGCATTACCTGGATGCCGGGCAGGTGTGTGAGACTGGCAGTTCTTAGCAATTACAGTTGGGGCATCTGGGAAAGTTTCCTGGCTTAAAAGCCTCCAAACTTGTAGGCCCCATCACTGTATCTTGCATTTTGTTGGAAATAATGTTGAAAATGTACAGAAGAGTCAAGCGGATGAAAAGGCTTAAGGGTTGTTTTGTTTTGTTGGGGGAGGTGGGGGTTTGGCAAGAAACCTAAATTTTTACTTATTGCATGTAGGGAAAAATCATGTACCATGAGACTATCTCAGAGGGTCTAGTGCTGTGCATCCTGTCTTCAACTGAGTCATTTACCTCTAGGTGTTTTTTTGTTTTGTTTTTTTTTTCCCCCTGTCATTTTAATAACTAAGTGCCACTACAGTTGGTTCAGAAGTAAGTAAATAGGGAAATCTTGTTTCCCTGCAGGTATGTTACTAATTACATGGCTGCTTTGCTGAATAAATACAGTTTTAGTTACATGGAAGAAATAGTTTCAGAATGTCAGCTCTTGGGCCCTACCCCTTGGTTCATGACATTTTAATTTCTATCTAGCATCTAAAATGAAACAAAGTGAGTGGACAATAAAAAGGCACTAACGCTGATGCACTCAGGTACACTCAACACTTAATCTGGTACATTTATAATACTTCTACTTTTCTTTCATACGTGTTTCCTATGTCCATGGAAACCATAGGTCCTGGTCTGAAATGTTGCAGCTGTATAGCTGTTTTTGCAGACTGGACTTTCCAGGGGACCCATCTCTGCAGGGGTTGAGGATAGGTCATTGGAATACAGCTAGAAGGCCTGTTCTGCAGTGTGTTGTGATATTGCTGTAATAACTTATGCATTACACTCAGCTCTTGCAGGCATGAGTTATGGTTTGGCACATCTGCTGAACTAAGTATTCAGATGGTGTTCTCTCAGCTGACAGTTGCCTACATCTGATACTAATCATCTTTCTCAGGTAAAAAGTGTGAAGCCATGTCTGAAGCAGCTCCAGCAGTGCATTCAGACCATATCAACTCTGCATGACGATGAAATCCTACCCAGCAACCCTGCTGATCTCTTTCACTGGCTGCCCAAGGAACACATGTGTGTGCTGGTCTACTTGGTAAGCAGCTTTTTTACTTGTGTATCTGTTGCTAGCTGGTGAGAGTGAGATGCTGGATGAATGTGCTGCACCATTGTAAATGAGGGGGAGATGTTCTATTAAGAGCATGATCCAGTGTGCAAGCAAGCTTACTTCTCAAATGGTTGTGTAATTTGTCGTTGCTCTATATGGACTGAATGCACAGTGTAGAATGAAAGGAGTTTGTCTGCCTTCCTGCAAACGCATATGTTTTTCTTGTGCTTGATCCTTCATAAAGCGGAACTATGTTGTTCGTTCTGTAAGCACAAATTACTGAGGTCAGGGTGTGGGGGTTTACATACCTTAAAATAGTCAGTAGTTTGTAAATGTGATTTGAAAGCATTGGCTAGGAGAGTTTGCTGTCCCCCTGCCCTGTTCTCTGCTTAAATGCATTGTCCTTTTGCAGTATCCAAGTACAGTGTCCTTTTGTTTCTAGACACCAGAGTAAATCCTAGCTCTAGCTACAAGCAAGTATGAATCTGAAGCACTCAAATTTAGTTCTGCTGATCACAGGTTGCCAGGTGATATGCCACAGTTGGCATTTGAGGACTTTGAATAGCAGTGTCTAGGAGACTTGGAAGAGCAGTCAACACCCTCAGATGACATTATAATGGTAGCATCATAGTTATTATGTAAGTGTTCACATTTAGCAGATCTGCAGTCTAAGTATGAGGTCTGAAATTTTGATGGTTTTTAGAACTTTTGTGTGATTAGCATTAACAAAGTGTAATTTGAAATTAATGGCTCATATGCAATGAAAAATAGCACATGGTCTGCAGAACCTATAACAGTTTTTTCATTGCCTTCACTTAGGTTAATATTTGAAGAAGTTCCATAAGAAATCCTGAACATGACTATATCAGTACACAAGCTAAAGAAAATCTAGCTCATATTTCTGGAGTTACGTTGATTTTTTTTTTTCCAGGGCTGGCAGTACTCTTTTGCTAAAGTGAACAGATAAGACAATAAGCTATTCTGTTTTTTTTAAACAAACTAGATTCCAAATTGTTGACATCAAAACTCAGTTTGAACTGTCTTCAGTTCTGGAGTTTGGCTCTGGACTTTCATACCTTTCCTTTCAGTAAAGGTTTGTGGGGTTTTTTTTCCCTGCCTTTCCTGTGCTCTGTGGCAGGTGACTGTGATGCATTCCATGCAAGCAGGATACCTGGAGAAGGCACAGAAATACACGGACAAAGCACTCATGCAGTTGGAAAAGCTAAAAAGTAAGTGTGGAGGTTAAAACTCCTGGTGATGTGTATGGTTTATCTCAGGGTGACACAGCGGTGAAGGCACACCAGTCTGCTTGCTGAAACAGACTCCTTAAAGCTCTTGCTGTCTTTGGGACTAGTTCTCTAAAACCATTCAGAGGATTAATAGCACAGATGTAAGAATCCTTCTTTTTTCTAAGTCCAGAAGTAGATTCTTTTCCAACACAGACTTACTACTCTACATGCTGAATTTGGGTAATACAGAAGTGAATTTACCGGGTTCTGACAGTGTTTCAGCTGTTTAATGGAAACTTGAATGTCCTGATCAGTTGTATGTCCAAGATTGCACTTACCTGGAGCAAGGTCGTGTTTCCCAGGGGTCCAGCAACATAAAGCATGGACTCCCATTCTTCACTCCTCAAGAGAGGTTCTCTAAAAATGTGTTCATCCCTTCTGATGCAGCATGAACAGTTGATGGCCAGCCAGCTGACACATGGTTCAGCAAAACTTCAGTGTAAAGACCTCTGTGCAGAAATCATTGTGCCAGAGTTTTTCAGACCATCTGGCACCAGAGAAGCTGGTTACTGTAGTACCTGGATGGGGGTTGTTAAGGTGTTAGTGCACCGTTTAACTTTACTTCCTGAAATATTTTCATTCCCTCTTCAGTGCTGGACTGCAGTCCCATCTTGTCATCTTTCCAAGTTATTTTGCTGGAACATATTATCATGTGTCGGCTTGTCACGGGACACAAAGCCACAGCATTACAAGAGGTAACACTTTGATCTTTTCCCCACTGCTTTAATGTTTTTGGACATTCACAAAACTTTGCAGTAAGAATTGTTAAAAATATGGAAGTTTCATTTCCTAACAATGAATTCAAACTGTAACTGGAATCATAAGCAGTGTCTGTGTAACCACTAACACGCATAACAATGTCTGGAAATCTTCAGTGGGACATTGGCAAGGTTCCTTGAATCCTGCAATAATCCCTGTTCCTTGGCTCATTTGAAAGCACTTTAGTTATGGAGGTGGGGGCTTTCAAACATGCACATCTTGCTTATTAATGCTCAGAAGTGAACCCTTAGCATTTAATCCCTGATCTTCCTTTCTGATTGTCTCCCTACTCCCTGTCCCTCAGGCTCATGGCTGGAAGTTTTCTTTAACGCTTCCCTTTCCATCGCTTCCAGTTTAGGCATATTTTATCCAAAGGTGCCTGTACTTTTGCAGATCTTTTCTTTCTGTCCATCCAGTTCTCCTTTCTCATTGACTGCTTTCACCTTCTATTGTCCTCTGATTATTTATTCAAAATGCAGTTGCTCTGATTATGTCAGTCCCTTCCTTGAATCCTTACAGTGGTTCCTCCTCTCTGGCCCTGGATCAGACTTTCTTGCTCTTGCTTTTATTCCTCATCTCTACCCTTTTCTACGTATTTTTGTCATAATTTCACTCTTCTTTCCTCTTCTGACATTAGTACCAACATCTGTTTTTTCCTTTTGTATAATTCTTCCCCTAGTACCTTGCACCTCCTTCCTGCCACTTCTTTATTTATAGGATGTGGTCTCAGAATTAGTCTCCTGCCATTTCAGATCCTTTGGTAAATCCCCCTGCTGTTGCAGATAAGAGTTTGATACCTGATAATGGCTAAATAAAAGAGTTTTTGGCAATAGTTCAGACCTTTTTACTAAACACCCCCCCCCCCCCC